TCTGTCTGTCCGTCTGTTTCGGGGTGGTATGATGAACTGAACTGTAGTCGCGTGCCGAACTGCTGCCACAGGTTCCGCCAGAAGTTGCTGGTGAATTTCGTGTCTCTGTCGCTGATGATTGACGCTGGTATCCCGTGCAGTCGTACGACGGTGGCGATGAAGAGGCGGGCTGTTTCTTCGGCCGTGATTGATTTTTTGCAGGCTGCGAAGTGTGCCATTTTCGTCAGCCGATCGACGACGACCAGGATCGCGTCATTTCCACTTGCCCCGGCCGGTAACCCCGTGACGAAGTCCATCGTCACCTGCTGCCAAGCACGCTCTGAGGGTGGGATCGGCTGCAACTGTCCTGCCGGCCGCTTCCGTGATGACTTCATGAGCTGGCAAGTGGGACACGATGCCACGTGTCGCTGTACGTCGGTCAACATTTCGGGCCAATAATAATACCGCTGCAGCTGCTGTCGTGTTTTTTCTACCCCGAAATGTCCCGAGGTAGCCCCGTCGTGTGCCTCCTGTAATAGTAGTTCCCGTAGTAGTGTGTACCCTGGTACCCAGATGCGGTCGGTCCCGGCTTTTACGTAATAGACTCCCTTGGCTGCTGCGAACTGCTGCGAATTTCCTCCTGTGAAGAATGGGTCTGTTTGATATCCGTGGGTAATTAGTCCTGTCAGTAGCGGGCTGGTCTGGGCGAGTAGTATCGCGTGGATTTGGGCAGTGGGGCAGGTCAGTGCGTCGGCGATATTCGAGGCTCCTTTTTTATAGGTGACCGTGTAGTGAAAATTCGACTCGAGGAAATCGAGCCAGCGAATCTGTCGTGGGTTGAGGTGGGGCTGTGCGCGGAGGTACTGTAGTGATCGGTGGTCTGTCCGTACTGTCACGTCTGCGCCGGTCAAGTAACAGCGCCACACTTTGAACGCATGCACGATCGCGAGCATTTCGCGGTCGTGTATCGGGTAATTTCGCTCGGGCGGATGCAGTTTTCGTGACTCGTATGCAATGGGCTGTAGGCCGTTGCCGAAGTCTTGTAGCAGTACGGCTCCGATGGCGATGTCGCTCGCATCAGTAACAACTTCGAAAGGGCGGTGTGGGTCGGCGATGCGCAAGACGGGCGGTGAACAGAGGACATTTTTCAGGGCAGAGAAGGCAGCATGCTCTTTCTCCCCCCACGTAAAAGTGACCCCCTTCCGCAGTAAGTCAGTCAGTGGGGCAGTCAATTGTGCCATGTCGGGGACGAACCGACGCACATAATTTACGAATCCTAAAAAACTCTGCAGTTCCGTGATGTTGGTCGGGGGACGCCATGCTTTTACTGTATCCAGCTTCTTTGGGTCGATTTCAACTCCAGCCTCCGAAATGACGTGCCCCAAAAATTCTAGCCTATCCTGAAAGAACTCGCACTTGGAACCCTTGGTCAGTAAGCGATGTTCGTCTAAAACCTTAAAAACCGCTTCCAGATCTGCTAAGTGCTGCTGCTTGTCCCGACTGTAAACTAGGATGTCATCGAGGTAAACTATGACGCATTTATTTAAGAGCGGCCTAAATGCCTCGTTCATGGTCATCTGAAAAGTCGCCGGGGCGTTGGTCAGCCCGAAGGGCATTACGGTGTACTCGAACGACCCGTACCTAGTCCTGAATGCTGTCTTGGCGCAGTCCGATGGTTCGACCCGAATCTGATGGTAACCCCCCCGTAGGTCGATTTTCGAAAACACTCGTGCTGTTCGCAGTTGGTCGATCAGTTCGTCGGCGCGGGGCATTGGGTATCGCGACTTGACTGTTACCCTGTTCAGTGCTCTGTAGTCGATACACATGCGAAAACCCCCGTCTTTTTTCGGTGTGAACAGTATCGGTGCGGCGAATGGCGACGAGCTTGGTCGGATGAACTTTTTTTTCTAACAGGTAATCTAACTGCTTCCTCAGTTCGTCGAGCTCGGGCTGTGTCAGTCTAAATTGGCGCTGTACAGTTGGCTGTGCCCCCGGTTCTAACTCAATCCTATGGTCATGTGCCTGCTGAGGTGGCAGTCCCTCCGGTAAGTCGTCCGGAAAAATCCCCGGGTACCGTTTCAACAGTTCCTGTAGTTCGGGCGGTACCGCTGCCAGCAGTTTCTGAAAATCGCTCGGCTGCTCCGCTGCTCCTACTAATGCTATATCCACTGCGTACACGTCAGCTCCAGCGGCGACAGCCCGTTTCATCGTGATGGCGTTGACGTGGACCGTTGAAGACTCGGGCGACTGCCAGCGAGGTAGCGCGACCCAGTTACCGCTACTTCGCACAGTGCAGCTACCCGTCGTCCAGTCGATTCGCGGGTTATACCGTCGCAGCCAATCACGTCCCAGTAAAATATCGTGCCCATCCAATGTCGTCGCGAGCATTTCCTGTGTAAATCCGAAGTTCCTCCCGCAGCGAACTTTCACCCTTTCCACCTTCTCTCGTATGGCCAGCGGCGTGTGTCAGAATCCCAGCCACTAACCACTGGGATAAAAGGGCTTGTTTATGTAGCGGGTGAGTGCGCCCATAACCCCCCAGGCCGCCATGCCTGTAACCCTTCCCTAAGATCAATCGGGGATCACCAGTGGACCTCTGACACCCCCCCGCACTGGGATGCCCGAGGTGCACACACCGGGATTCGAACCCGAGACCTTCGCTCTGATACCATGTCAGAATCCCAGCCACTAACCACTGGGATAAAAGGGCTTGTTTATGTAGCGGGTGAGTGCGCCCATAACCCCCCAGGCCGCCATGCCTGTAACCCTTCCCTAAGATCAATCGGGGATCACCTGTGGACCTCTGACAGCGTGCCGTCAACTAAACGTGCGTCGATCTCTGGTAAGCACCGGCTAAGAGGCAGTTGCAGATTCCGTGCGGTTGCGGTATTAACAAAGCTGTGGCTTGCTCCTCCGTCGATAAAAATCTTCACTGCTGCTCCCTGTATTTTCCCGTGGATCAGTACTGGGCAATCCGTCGCTGTACCCTCCTTATTCATCCGAGCCCGATCGATAGCGTGAATCGGTACTGTGACTCGGTGAGGGTCGGTGCGGTTGGGCGAGCAGGCAGTCTCGTCAGTAGTTGGCCCAACTTCTACTGACTGCTGGCGTTTCCCTGCCTCTGAGACTCCCTCCCCTGCTCTGCTCCCCGGCGCCTTAGCTCCTCTGGGCATTCGCTCTTGCGATGGCCCGGCCTGTTGCAAGCAAAGCAGCGCCCCTTAAACGGCGCGGCAGCTGCATTCGTCGCAACGGCGTTCACAGTGGCGTGCTCGATCGATCCCCGAGGACGATGTCCGTAGTAGAACCCCGGTCTCGGTCGTCGTAGGATGTCGATTTTCTCAGCGAGCGCGAGGATCTCGTTAAAATTCGAGAGCCCGCGTAGCATGATTTCATGCGAGATGTCCGGCTTCAGCCCTCCGACGTAACGGTCCACCCGCTCCGCCTCGTGCATATAACCGACTTGCTCGCAAAGTGCGAGAAATCCACTCGTATAATCTTGAACCGATCCGAGCTGCCGCCAAGTACGCAGTTTCTGACGCGCCGAAATTGAAGCCGCGATCGGCTCGAAGCGCGCCCGAAGCCCTGCGCACCACGCATCCCACGTGCTGTATTGGGCGGTTTCGCAGAACAAACTCCAGTTAACAGCTGGACCCGCGGGCCCTTCCTCTTGCGACGGTGGCTCGTAGGCGCGTGGCGACGTCACGATGACTCGCCACCAGTCCATGGCGGGGCCCCTTAGCAGAGAAACAGCATACCGAGTCGACGTAATTCGCGTCGAAAAAGACGTTCATCGTGAAGACCCACGATTGAACCGTCGGACCTCCATGTTGGCTTGGGTCGAAACAGGGCGGTCGTTGCGGCTTGAGTGGCATTGGCGTCATGATGGCTTGTTCGCCACTTGTCGCTGCGGATTCCACGTGACGACGGTTTCCGCGAGGCTCCCGTGGGCTTGGCGCGCTCCCGTTTCCTCCCATGCCAGGCATCGGTTGGGCGGCGCTGTCACTGGCTGCGCCTGAGCGCTGTCCCATGCTGCCGTGTGCTGTTGGTGTACCGGACGAAATGACGATCGGCTCATCTGATTGCGCAGGTGCATTTGTTGGTGCTGCTGGGGTGTTCACCGTGGATTGCTGACGCGCGGAGTCACGTTCCGCTGTGAGCGTCGCAATTTCCAACGCCGAATCTTCGAGTTGGCGCACCAGACGGTCGAGCTGCTCATGCGTCAGTGTGGCAAGCGTGAATTCGGCCATGGCGGGGGTGTCGGGCGAGCTCAGCGAGAGCCTCAGTCGTGGCCGTGCGTGCTTACGAGAGAGCACTACGAGCGGCGGTGCTGTGTCGCTGAGAGACGTCTACCCCCCCAAAAAATTGAGATAGTGGGGAAGCGAAGGTGTGGGTGCGGTCCGAGAAGAGATCGTAGGCTCTGAATACCAAGTGTTACGAGTTCAATTGAGTGGCCGAACGAGAATTGCACTATCGAAGCAAGAGTACAATCAGCGAAGGCATGAGCGAAGGATTATATAGCGAAACTGCGGTGGTAACGGTAATGGACTGTGGTTGTCGCGCGACAGGCCTGGGACTGAGGTTGGGAAAAGTGTCGAGGCGGAGGCCCGGAGCGCGGGTTACCCGTCGAGCCGTGAGGTCGGGGTGCGACGTGCGAAAGTGGCGGGCGGATTGTCGATGCGAGGGGGGCGAGTGGTAACGGTGCTGACTGTGGTGCTACAGTGATGTACGCGTTGAGCAGGGATGTGAAGTAAGGAAAAGGAGATTTTCCTTACAACATTTATGTAATGTATATAATGTAGATTGGCTATAAAATGTTGTGCTGTATATTCAAAAGCAAAAACACAACAAAGGCATTAGTCATTGAGGCAAAAACACAGCCAACATCCTCCTGAAGAGGGATAACTACGCCATCACATCATTCGACCAACCATCAAGCAAGCATATAACTATATGCGAATATGAAACAAAAGGGCACCACACTGTGTTAAAGCTTTTGTATACATTTGAAAACCCACTAAAGCACTGCCCTGGACTGCATCTGAAACCCAGTGGATTCAGCAGCAGCAGCATTGACAGCTTTCTTCCTCTTGACATCTCGTACGATAAGAGCACCATAAACAAAGGCGATGATGATAACAAGAATTCCGAACACGGCATATCCTCCCTGTGACACATCAACACAAGTCACACGGGTGGGCCGGACAGAAATATGTGATGGTGAATACATCGACAACTTAATCAACGCGGATGTAGTCAGGACAGGAAGATTTTTGCAGTGTTGTGTAGCTCGGAACAAGGCTTTCAAGGAAACTTACCACGACTCCGGCAGCAAACATTTTACTGTAGAGAGTGAGACCAAGGAAGCAGTTGAACCAACCAAACACCACTCCCACCACGCCCACCAACCAATGCACCACGCGCCACCTCCCACGCGTCCAGCTGGCGTAATGCCACTGGCCGGCAGAGTCTGACGAATTGGATGAAGATGGCCGGGATGACGGGCGGAAGAATACAACAAGAGGCTGGAGAACCACGAGGAGAACGAGGAGGAAAACACCGATCCAGGCGTGGGCATAATGGAAACCTTGGGACCCAGATGAGACAAACGCTGTGATGCACCCGACGCAGATGCAGACGAGCGCAGCCAGTTGCAGGTACTTGTGCCATGTGAACCAGAACACTCGGCGCGAGTCAGTTAGCATTGAGTCATCGGCATGGGAAGAGGAAGAGGAGGAGGGAGGATGGGATTCTGTGCTGTTGGCGTCCGAGAGGTGTAGTGGGTTGGAAGAGTGAGAGGAGGGGGTTGCGAGGAAGAGGCGGGCGATGAGAATGGCAGAGGGCATGAGGAGGAAGAAGGCGAGAGAGAGGAAGACCGCGTGGGCGATGAGTGCAGGGGAGGAGGAGGAGGAGGCGCGTCCAGAAGAGAAGTCGATTGTAACTGATCCCCTGTGCATGGAGGAAAATGGAAGAGAGGAGAAGAGAAGAGAAGAGAAGGAGTGGACAAGCAGAGGAGACTAGGAGAAGGAGAGGAGAAGAGAAGAGAAGAGAAGCAGGAGGGAGAAAGCATGGAGGGGACAAGGAGTGAGACTAGGAGTGAGACTAGGAGTGAGACTAGGAGTGAGACTAGGAGTGAGACTAGGAGTGAGACTAGGAGTGAGACTAGGAGTGAGACTAGGAGTGAGACTAGGAGTGAGACTAGGAGTGAGACTAGGAGTGAGACTAGGAGTGAGACTAGGAGTGAGACTAGGAGTGAGACTAGGAGTGAGACTAGGAGTGAGACTAGGAGTGAGACTAGGAGTGAGACTAGGAGTGAGACTAGGAGTGAGACTAGGAGTGAGACTAGGAGTGAGACTAGGAGTGAGACTAGGAGTGAGACTAGGAGTGAGACTAGGAGTGAGACTAGGAGTGAGACTAGGAGTGAGACTAGGAGTGAGACTAGGAGTGAGACTAGGAGTGAGACTAGGAGTGAGACTAGGAGTGAGACTAGGAGTGAGACTAGGAGTGAGACTAGGAGTGAGACTAGGAGTGAGACTAGGAGTGAGACTAGGAGTGAGACTAGGAGTGAGACTAGGAGTGAGACTAGGAGTGAGACTAGGAGTGAGACTAGGAGTGAGACTAGGAGTGAGACTAGGAGTGAGACTAGGAGTGAGACTAGGAGTGAGACTAGGAGTGAGACTAGGAGTGAGACTAGGAGTGAGACTAGGAGTGAGACTAGGAGTGAGACTAGGAGTGAGACTAGGAGTGAGACTAGGAGTGAGACTAGGAGTGAGACCATGTGAAGAATGTACCAAGTGCCTCCATTCAAGGCAATGATGACAGGTGATTGAAACCATGTGAAGAAAGTATTTAAAATGTAGCTGTTGTAGCTCTGTTTGTTTATGTAGGTACTGTTGGCGTGCTTCCCGTCACGAACAAGATACTCTATTTTTCAGTCTGCACCGCTCGTATAATGCATGAAGGCACAAAAAGCAAGCAAACAAACAAAGAAGCAAACCCACATGTTGCCTTCATGGAAGGCGAGCTCCTGGGAGTTGTCTCGAGAGTAAACCCAGAGGATGGTTGCTAACTCAATGGCGCCCAAGATCACTGTGTTATGTGGGTCACACATGGCTCCAACCCCCCTGGCCCTCTCACCCCCCCCCCACTCACCTGTTGCCTCCATGGAAGGCGAGCTCCTGGGAGTTGTCTCGAGAGTAGGCACAGAGGATGATGGCTATGCTACCTTTGAGGCGCCTCAAAAGTCAGGACGATTGCTATGCTACCTCGCACTGAATCAGGCGCCCAAGGTCGTTGTGCCGTGTGGGTGACCCATGTTACAGCCCCCTGCCCCCTACCCCTCTCACTTTCGATTTTTCCTATCTTCCCCCCAGCACTCACATGTTATTCCCATGGAACGCCAGCTCCCGCGTGTTGTCACGAGAGTAAGCCCAGAGTAGACATGTGCATTGAGTCGAGTTTCTCGACTCGACACGGGTCGAGTGTCGAGTCCGCGAAACCACTAGAAAAACTCGACCGAGTCGAGTCGAGTTTTACCCGTCGAGTTTAAAAAAAACTCGGCGAAAGCTCGGCCCCACATCGAGTTTCCTGCAGACTCGACGTGCTTTTGGGGCTCGAGCGAGTTTACAAAAAACTCGGTCGCGACATTGGCAGCAAGGACAAATTGTAAAATGTTCACTTTGGCGGGGTTCTTTTTAGATCGCGATTTCAGTTAGTCCTCTTCCTAAGCCTATCATAGGTGGAAACCTGAGCCTAGACAGCCGAACTCATGGCTGGTTTTCCATCTTAAACTTAAGTTAGGTTTACGGAATCCTAGATCTACGTTATTAGTTAGTTAATGTCACGTTTTTTACATGTGCAGTTTTCCGATTAGGGTTTCTTGAGGCGGAATCGCACCCATTTAACGGTAGATCTCCTTTTTTATTTTATTTTTTTTTTTAATGGCGAAATTTAAGGAAGGGGTGAGTAAGAACCCAAACGGCGGGAAAGGTGGAACGGGAGGAACTCACAATGGCAATCATGCAAGAGTGGAGGAGGGGGCAGGCCAAGTTGTGCTTACATGCGGTATTCAACACATATCCTTGTACCAAAATGTATGGTGTTTCCACAGCAAAACCCCCCACCCCCCCTCCCTCCCCCCCCCTGAGTCGAGTTTTACTCGGCTCGACCGAGTGTACGAAAAAAGCCCGTCGAGTTTTTCAAAACTCGAGCCCTATTTAGGCGAGTCTCGAGTCCAGCATCATGAGAAAAAAGCTCGGTCGAGTTTCCCCCGACTCGAGCTCGAACTCGGTCGAGCTCGAGCCAGACCGAGTCGAGTTTTACTCGACTCGGTCCGATGCACATGTCTAGCCCAGAGAATGGTGGTCACATCAGGCGCCCACAGTCATTTTCCTGTGTGGACCACTATCAACCACCTACCCCTCTAAACCTCCCCCACACTCACATGTTGGCTCCATGGAACGCCAGCTCCTGTGTGCTGTCACGAGAGTAAGCCCAGAGGATGGTGGCCTTCAAGGTTTTAGTGAATGGCATCTGGCCGGGCAGGAGGCCACGCTCAAACCTGGAGAGAGGAAAGAAATGCATGAAGAAGGGCGGACGGACAGAGGGATATTGACTGACGTGAGAGTAGGTCCAGAGGATGGTGGCCTTCAAGTTGCCACTGAATGGCATCTGGCCGGGCAGGAGGCCACGCTCAAACCTGGTGAGAGGAGAGAAAGGCACGAAGAGGGGATGAAAGGAAGGAAAGACGGACTAGCCTTGTTCTGATTTATGAAAGAGTAGGCCCAGAGGATGGGGGCCTTCAAGTTGCTACTGAATGGCATCTGGCCGGGCAGCAGGCCTCTCTCGAACCCGGAGAGAGAAAAGAAAGGGGGATTGGGAGGGGAGGAAGGACGGAGGGCCCTTGAGTGCTGTGGGATTAGGCCTAAAGCATCCTCGCCACCTCGTTGCCACTGAATGGCATCTAACTCAGACCCACAAAAGACAAGCGAGAGGCTTTGGGATGGGACGAAGGACGGAGGGCAGCCCACCCAGGGGAGGATTGTTAGCCACCTCGGCGCCACTGAATGGCGTCTCAAGATGCTCACCCTCGTGCGCGAGGGTGTGCTCGAGCCTAGGTGTGACCAGTTGATTTTTGAGACGACAACAAGCGACCAATCACACACGTTGCCTCAAAAAACAACGTGAATGCCTTCTCACCTGGCACGAGGGTGTGCTCGAGCCTAGGGCAGCGTGAGGAGAGGGAAGGAAGGGACGAGGGGGGGATGTGCCAGTGGTTGAAGAGACGGGAAGAGTAGCAGGTCAAGCCCCACACCCCACCCCACCTAACCCTCCTTCACCGCCCCTCACCCCACCCCAACCTAACCTACCCCCACACCACCCTACACCAGGGCTATTGCTAGGATTTTTGCTAGCTCGGACGATCCGGGCCCCTGTGAAAAAGACCCTGTAAAATCCGAGCCAGCGGAGAAAAAGCCTTGACGAATCCGGGTTCGAGCCAGAAAAGGCCTGAAAACATGCATTACCAGAAAATCGCGGGATGGTGGAGATCGAGAAACTCACAGTGGGTTGCACGAGGGGTGAAAGGAGTGGCTCTAGAGGGGTGGGCGAGAGACTTTTTGTAGACTTAGAAAAAATACGATGAGAAGGAGTATTATAAGCCATGTCGACATACAGGGCGAACAGACACTTAGAGGAGGACCAGGAGAGAGTGGTAAGGAGATCAACTAAAAGTGGCCCAAACATGTGTTCAGAGGGAGACGGAGAGGAATGCAAAGCAGGTCGAGGAGGACTGTGCTGCTAAAACTATACGGGTCCCCTTGACAACATCCCGGAGGAATCCGAGCTGACTCAAAAATCCCCCTTAAGTTTTACGGGCTGGTCCGAAAATCACCTAGTCAAAATCAGGGTTCCTCTATAGAACACCCTATAATTTCAGTCAAAACAGGGTAATTTCCCTGATAACATAGGCCCTGCCCTACACCACCCTACCCCACCCCACCTGAACCACCTTCACCACACTGAACCGCTCACCTTATCACAGTTCGTCCGTTCGACGACGTCCCGACGGCGTCTTTCATCAATTCATACTGCCCGCTGGGTGCCACGACCTCACCCTGACCCACCTTCACCCCACTCGACCCACCTTCACCCCACTCGACCCACCTTCACCGAACTGGGCCGCTCACCTCATCACAGTCCGGCCATTTGAAGAAGTCCCGACCGCGTCGTTGATCAATTCAAACTGCCCGCTGGGTGCCACGTCAGCCTTGTCATACCCCGTCATCGCGTACGGCCCCACTGCCGCCCCGGTCTTTATAGTGCCACGTGGCAGGTTCCCAATGGCTGCCTCGCTGCCGGCCATCTTGCCGTCCTTGGACCAGCCCACGCCGACCCAACCAGTGGTTGCCACGTCAGCAGCGAGGAGAATAGAGGTGTTTCGCCGATGCCAGTGCAGCACGAACCTGGGAGGAGGGGGTGGGGCGCATGGCGGAAAGGGGGCATGTTTTTGAGTCAACTCAAAAATAGGCGCATGGTGGAACGGGGCCATAGAGTACCTGCCTGGCTGCAGCTGCCAGCTACAGCTGCAGGGCATGAGGTGTTGCTGTGTAGTGCGGTACAGAGTGTATCTGTGTGATACATAGTGGTACAGACAGCATGGTGGAAAATGGCTCAGAGCTGGTGGAGTGGCTTTAGCAACAGTGATGACAGGCCGATTCCAGTGCCTCAAATGCCAGTGCCTCAAATGCCAGTGCCTCAAATGCCAGTGCCTCAAATGCCAGTGCCTCAAATGCCAGTGCCTCAAATGCCGCTTCGAGAAGTGATTTGATCTACAGCTACCTAGTAGCTACAGCTACCTAGAAGCTACAGCTATATGGTAGCTACAGCTACCTAGTAGCTACAGCTATTTGGTAGCTATTGCTATTTGGTAGCTACGGCTATTTGGTAGCTACATAGATTTGGTAGCTACATAGATTTGGTAGCTACAGGTACGGTAACATCCTCACCTGTTGCCCTGCAGCTGTAGCATGCAGCTGTAGCCGGGCAGGGAGGAGGGCTTGCAGGCTAGCCGAGACCTGTACAGTGCAACAGCTGCCCTGCTGGAGGCGTCAGCGGATGTAGCACAGGAGTAGTCAACGCGGAGTGATCCCCTGTGAATATAGTGGCGAGGGAAGGGGGGCGAGAGGATACGAATGGTCCATAAGAATAGGCTGTACAGGGCTACAGCTGCCCTGCTGGAGGCGTTAGCGGATGTAGCACAGGAGTAGTCAACGCGGAGTGATCCCCTGTGAATATAGTGGCGAGGGAAGGGGGGCGAGGGGATACGAATGGTCCATAAGAATAGGCTGTACAGTGCTAGGAATGGTCCATAAGAACAGGCTGTACAGTGCTAGGAATGGTCCATAAGAACAGACTGTACAGTGCTAGGAATGGTCCATAAGAACAGGCTGTACAGTGCTACAGCTGCCCTGCTGGAGGCGTCAGCGGATGTAGCACAGGAGTAGTCAACGCGGAGTGATCCCCTGTGGGTAGAGGGCGCAGGGAAGTAGATGGGGGGGGAAGATTGGTCTACAAGACTCTATTTACTGTTAGCACGTGGGGGGGAGATGCACTCACTTGTGGCGCACGTGGGGGGGAGATGAACTCACTTGCCTTTCAAACGTGTGTGGGAGCAAGAAAGGCAACTCACTTGTGGCGCCCGAGGTGCTGACAGCTGTCGCGACGCAATTGGAACTATTGGGGATGGGGGATAGGAGCTGGGGATGAGGAGGTAAAAACCAGGGTTTAGGGCACTCACTTGTGGCGCCCGCGGTATGACAGGTGTCGCGACACGATTGGAACGATTGGGGATGGGGGGAAGAAGATGGGAATGAGGAGGTGAAAACTAGGGTTTAGGGCACTCACTTGTGGCGCGCACCTGTGGTATGACAGCTGTCGCGACGCTTTGGGGATGAGGAGGTGAAAACTAGGGTTTAGGGCACTCTCTTGTGGCGCCCGTGATATGACAGGTGTCGCGGCGCTTTGGGAGCAAATGGGGAGAGGGAGGGGAAGCTTGGGTTTTGGAGGCTTGGCTTATGGAAGACAGAGAGGGCACTCACTTGTGTGATAAGTCGAGTTTTGAGGCGACTTATCACACACGGCTTATGGAAGACAGAGAGGGCACTCACTTGTGTGATAAGTCGAGTTTTGAGGCGACTTATCACACATGGCTTATGGAAGACAGAGAGGGCACTCACTTGTGTGATAAGTCGAGTTTTGAGGCGACTTATCACACACGGCTTATGGAAGACAGAGAGGGCACTCACTTGTGGAGCCCGTGGTATGACAGCTGTCGCAATGCGTTGGGAGCGAATGGGGGATGGGGAAAGCTTGAGCTCTGGAAGGCAGGAAAGGAAGGGACACTCACTTGTGGCGCCCGTGGTACGCCAGCTGTCGCGATGCGTTGGGAGCGAAGGCCCAGATCATGTGGTTGACGGCCAGAGGCTGCACGGGCATGAATCCATCTAGCTCCGCACTACGCGTGAACCTGAGAGACGCAGAGCAAGGAAAGGAAAGTAGTGAGGAGGGGGGGAAGGAGCAGAGGGACGAAGGCCCAGATCATGTGGTTGACAGTCATTGGCTGCACAGGCATGACTCCATCTAGCTAAGCGCTGCGGGTGAACCTGAGCATGGGAGGGAAAACGGGAGAGAACAGGAAAAGAAAGGAGAATGAATGAGATGGGGGTCGGGGGAGGGATGAGCGCAGGGCCACATGATCTGGTTCTTAGAGAATTCTGAAAAGACAGTTTCAGCCCGTTTTGCCCTAGATTTATATCCCTTCCCTCCCACCGGCTTGTCAATCCGAAAATCCAACCATCCACCCACCCGCAGCTCATCTCGTGATCTCACATCCATCTGTGCTCCTCGTCCAGTTTCACTCCCTCACCTTGCAGTTCAGCCCGTTCCACTCTAAGATCATCTCCCTTCCCTTCAACCAACTCCTTTTTCTCCCACCCACGGAACAAGCCAGCCAGCTACCCAGCCACACGCATCGCACCTCCTGATCACTGCTCCATCTGTGCTCCTCGTCCGGTTCCACTCCCTCTCCCCGTATTTCAGCCCGTTCCAGAGTAGGCAACAGCACCACATATCCTTTCGCCCTTCCCCTCCGTCCACACACCCACTCAGCCAGCCAGCCACCCTCCCACACGCCCACACCCCTACTCACCTCATAATCACGCCTCCCTCCTTGCTCCTCGTCCAATTCCACTCCCTCTCGTTGTACTTCAGCGCGTTTGTCTGAATGTTGGGTCGACTCAAGTTCCACCCAATCTAAAACCAACAGCATATAGACTTGGTCCGTTTGTCCCATAACCCTACTCACCTCATAATCACGCCTCCCTCCTTGCTCCTCGTCCAGTTCCACTCCCTCTCGTTGTAGTTCAGTCCGTTCGTCCGCTCCAGACCATCCACACCGTACCCCGTGATATAAAACGGCAGAACCGATTCCGCGGGTAAACCACCCGGCGGAACCACCGAGGGTAAACCACCCGGCGGGCTCGAAGGGGCTACTGCAGCACCCCCGATGATAGCGTCCGAAGGGACCATATGCCCTTCCAGAGACCACCCCACGGAAATCCACCCTGCTGTGGCTGCTTCGCTTCCCGGCCTTGCCTCCACCGCCATTTGCATCAGCTGCGGGGAGAGGTGCATCCAATGCAGGAGGAGACTGGTGGGGGATGAGGGGTAAGTGTTGGGAAGGAGAGAGGAAATAGAGGAAAGACAGGTTGTGCCTTGTACTCTGCTGTGTCTGCCCCGCTTCCCGGCCTTGCCTCCACGGCCGTTTGCATCAGCTGCGGGAAGAGGTGCGTCCAATGCAGGAGGAGACTAGGGGGATGGGGGGGATGTGGGGGGAGGGAAGGAAAGAGCGGGAAGGAGACAGATTGTGCCTTATACTCTGTTCTGACTACTTCGCTTCCCGGCCTTGCCTCCACCGCCATTTGCATCAGCTGCGGGGAGAGGTGCATCCAATGCAGGAGGAGACTGGTGGGGGATGGGGGGTAAGTGTTGGGAAGGAGAGAGGAAATAGAGGAAAGACAGGTTGTGCCTTGTACTCTGCTGTGTCTGCCCCGCTTCCCGGCCTTGCCTCCACGGCCATTTGCATCAGCTGCGGGGAGAGGTGCGTCCAATGCAAGAGGAGACTGGTGGGGGATGAGGGGTAAGTGTTGGGAAGGAGAGAGGAAATAGAGGAAAGACAGGTTGTGCCTTGTACTCTGCTGTGTCTGCCCCGCTTCCCGGCCTTGCCTCCACGGCCATTTGCATCAGCTGCTGGGAGAGGTGCGTCCAATGCAGGAGGAGACTAGGGGGATGGGGGGGATGTGGGGGGAGGGAAGGAAAGAGCGGGAAGGAGACAGATTGTGCCTTATACTCTGTTCTGACTACTTCGCTTCCCGGCCTTGCCTCCACGGCCATTTGCGTCAACTGCGGGGAGAGGTGCGTCCAATACAGGAGGAGACTGGGGGAAGCAGGGGGAAGTGGGGGAGCGGGAGAAGGGGAAGGGAGGAGGGAAAGGGAGGAGGGGAAGGGACGGAGTGAGGGGAGCGGTACGCACAGTTGCGTTATCCACGACAGCTGCAAAAACCGATTAAGAGAAAGGAATATGTGCCGTAGAAAAGTTTTGAGGCGCCTCAAAACTAGAAAGGAATATGTGCCGTAGAAAAGTAATCTATTCGTGTTATTCAATAGCTCTAATGCGCACCCCTTGCCGTTAAGGTCGACAGAGTTGTTGTATCCCGGCAGTTTAGATGGCTGACAGGCAGCGACCGGCGTCAGCAACGTATCCAGCTCCTCATCTGACATATTCGCTTGTTCCTCGTAAAACTCGTCGTCGCCGGGCCCCAGCCAATCAGCGTTGTTCCCGCCATCCATTTCCGCGTAATCCGGCAACGAATCCCACGGCGCCGACCCGTCGTCGCCCGTGAAATTTCCGTCCTGGTTCAGCCATTCCCGCTTCAGCCAGTCGTCCGGGTCCGTTCCGCTTACGTCCGAAAAATCGTCCGTCGGTTCTTCCCCGCTGTCAAAATAGTCCGTCGAGTTTTCGTTAGAATAATCCGATCCGTCAAGTGACGGATCGACCGTCTGCGTGCCGTTATTCGTGAATCCCAGGTCTGCTGACGTGCCAGTGGAGTTCAAATTGCTTGCTTGTGATTGGCCAACAGCATGGGTCGTGAGACAAGCCAAGAAGAGCGCGACAAGCGTCAGAATCATAGCCTTTCTAAGGTCGAAAACACGAGGCCTTAGCAATTCTCCCATACCGCTAACACGACAGACACTGAATAGATTAGACTCTCACGCTTGTGCGTTAACCGCTAAAAACTAGCCAACGGAATCAGAGCAACACGTTCAACACGTCCGCAAAGCCGTGGAGAGCGCTGCAAACTGTTCGTCAGTAACGGTTCTGTCTAAGCAGCAGTCAAAAGGACGGCTTTATCTGAACCAGCAGCACATGAGGTAAGAAAGAATGGCCTTTTGTGAAGAATGCTAGCTCGGAAAAAAATAATGGCTTTCTGTGAAGAGAGTGCTAGCCTGGAAAGAAAGAACGGCCTCTGTGAAAGGAACGCTAGCTTGGTATATATATTGGAAGAAAGAATTGCCTTTTGTGAAAAGAATCTGTGCTGGACAGAATATGACCGTCCTCTGCGCTGTGAATCTGTGATGCTTGTGTGTCAATCTCCTCTCTCACCCGTACAGCACCCGTGCAATCTCCTCTCTGATCCGTACCCAATTGTGCGGAAACACAATCATGAATTCCGGTGTGACACACCGCCCGGCAGGAAGAGCGTGGTACAGTATTCCGGAATCATGTACGTGTACGTGTACCAAAGACACCGGGAAACAAGAGCAAGGTTCTGTGCAAAATTGCGGGTCCAGAGTGCGTTGCTAACTGTGCATCCGCTTTTTGGGTTTGTGGGCCAGTAAAGATGTCCCTCGTCCACAAACATGGCATGAGCTCGGGTTGACCCCAGGAATGCAAACAGCCCTGGATTCCCTGGATCCCTTACCACCACCGAATTTGTCGGCGCGTCTCCGGACCAGGTACGCCTGACACACCTGTACCAAAAGTCGGTAAGGGTCGAGTCGCGGGCTAATCCTCGGTACAAGAACGGCTACAAGACACTACAAATTTGGACAAACGTATTAAGCACTTCCATGTTTAAATGAAAACGAATTGGCCTAGGATATCACAGCACTTAGCCTATTCGTACAATTAACCTACCATATCAATAATGGCCATTTCATCCTTCCCGTTTCCCTAACAACATCCCAAATCAGCATTGTTGCCATGCTGTTGAGCATTCCCCCCATGCAAGTCCTCACAGCCATTCTGACTGGGCAAGTCGCAAGCGGCAGCAGGCAAAGGAAACAGCTTCTGCCGGCGGAGCCAAAGAAGTTCTTGGTTGGGGCCCTCAAAGGGCCTTGCGGAATTCCCACATGGCACATCCACCTGGATAAGATACTGCTGCTGGAGCATCAGCAGGGTGTTGGTATCTTGTGGGGTGAATTCCCCTCCGTGGTACACTCGCCAGCCTGAGGGAAGGGAGGAAGAGAGGATGGATTTAACGAGTGAGCGTGGAAACGACAGGACTACTGGGTCAAGGGAGATACAAAAGGTGTCAGCAGCGACTCACTTGCATCAATGGCCGTCAGCAGGTGCTAGTGCAGCTCTGCTCGACACCACTAGGCCATGTGGGTATGGGATACAATGTGTGCGAAAGAAGGCCATGCATGTGTGAGTAAGACTGTGTCAGCAGCGACTCACTTGCATCAATGGCCGTCAGTAGCTGCTGGTGCAGCTCCAAGCTGCTCGATGCCACTATCCCTCTATCAAGCGAGCTCAAAAAACGGCCTTTGGTAAAATCCAAGGGCTTGCCGCCCGCATCCGTCACAACGCCGCCCGCCTCCTCCACAATCACCACCCCTGCAGCGTGGTCCCAGACCTTCTCCTGGTAACCGTTGCGCGCGAATTTCATGAAAATATCCGCATCGCCGCGGGCTATAGCAGCATACTTTGCCATGCTGTACACACGGAGAGGAGCGTTACTGAAAGGTATAACAAGGGTTGTACAGGGGTGGGCGGAGAGAAAGAGACCAAGGACTTGTCAGGGTAGATGAGCAAGCATGGGGCTATGGCAGCGTACTTTGCCATACTGTACACGCGGAGAGGAGCGTTACTGTCAGACAGACATGACGGGGGAAGCATGGGGGACACACGCACAGGTATATCAGAGAATGCAAATACGCGTGGGGATGTAGCAGCGTACGCTGCCAAATCAAATTATAATTCACAAAACTAGGGGTACCAAGGGACATGGCATACGCTGCACGTGACATGTTACCATACCTAGGCACATGGCATGTTACCGTACCAAGGCGCATGGCATGTTACCGTACCAAGGCGCATGGCATGTTACCGTACCTGATTCCCAGGAGGTCCGCCAGGCCTGCCGTGAACGTCTGGTTCGAGTTCGCCTTCTCAACCGGCTCGCAGAAAGTCGCGCGGCACGGCTCGCACACTTCGGACACGTGGATGCGAGCCACGTGGCTGTTGGAGGCGCTCGTCGCGCTCCAATCAGGATCCAGCTTCGTGCGGCGACTGCTGCCACCGCTGCTGCCACCGTTGCTGCCGCTAGGGGGAGCCTTCGCGGCGGCTATTGCTGCGGGATTGCCTCCTACGAGCGGCTCGACGAAGGCGCCATGACCCCGGAGCGCTTTCAGCACCACTCCTTCTCGCCAATCGCGGGATGGGAAAAGTTTTGATGTTATCCGGTGAAAGCGGTGCGGATGTCGTAGCCACCCCGGCCTGACCGGGAAATTTGGGCAGCCTAAGACACCGAGTTTTAAGCTGCCCGAATCTAGCAACGCCAGAGCGACTGCGTATTGATCGTCCCGAACGAATCCAAGCGTGCCGTCCACCGGATCTAGTATCCAATGCCGCCCAACCGCGCCGCCTTCTGACGAACCGCGATTTATCAACTCCAGCACCTCTGGTGCCTCAAGCGGGCGCTCCGGCGGCTCAATACCGACCAAACGCGCCTCAGCAAGGCACTCGTTAACTACGCCGACGAGCCGCGAGAGAATCGCGCTTCCCGCGTCGTTCGTCAGCTGCTTCGTATCTTCCTCCGCAATCATAGATACCACCTCCCCCGGATAAGCCTGCTTCAGGACCCAGCTAACAACCGCCTGAACCCCCCAGTCTGCTACAGTAACGTACGACCTGTCCGGCTTGGACCGCGTTACATCTTCCGCCTCGCGCCGCAGCTGCGCCTGAACCTTCTTCGTGAGACGACACGAGAGTTGAACCGCCCGTTCGGCAACCGACAGATCGTAACTCCCCTCCGCCGCTTCTTCCGAATCTTTCGGCTTCGAAAATCCGTCGCGAAGTGCAGAGGCTCGTTCGTCAATCGACGGTCGTCGAAGCGCCTCGTCACGCAGTTCAGCATGCCGCGATGCGGCGGTTTCGAAAGCTTCCAAGAAATCCGGGTCCTCAAACGGGAAGTACGGCGACTGGAGATTCGGAAACGCGATAGTAGGCGACGAGGAAGAGGAGGGAGAGGAGGCGGTTCGGTTCGGCGTCGACGTTCGTAACGTAGCGCTGCGGCTCCCTGTCGCGACGGCTCCCGCCGTTACATTTGGCCCACCGCAGGAAGCGGTGCTTGTCGAGACAGCAGACGCTGCCGGGGAAGATGAAGAAGCGGCGCCAGTAGATGCGCCGGCAGATCCGCCGGCAGATGCGGCGGTAGATGGGGCGGGAGTAGTCGGCTTGTGAAGCATTGTCACTCGGCCCCGCATTGACACGTGCTGTGTTGTTGCTTCGAGAAGTGGCTTTGGAACGGGGAAGGAAGGGACCGTATGTGAATGCGACACGGGTTGGAGTATCAAGGAAGACAGGAACGTGGAGTGGGAAATCAGATCCATGTCGCGGCGGGATGAGCAGACTGGCGTTTGCAAAATAGATGGCCTCGTGGGAAAACAGCCGCAATTCACGGCCTGAGGCCTGGATGGTAATTCATGCGGCCTGCCACTGGGAAATGAATGAGGGGTTGATGCTGCTAGGCTGGCGCAGTTGATGCACGTTACTGGGTGGTGCAGGAGGTCCGCCATTGAAAACACTTAAAAAATATTGCGGCTTTAAGAATAAAGACGTCTAAATCTTGCGGCTTGGACAAAATTGATGAGAGGTCGCACTCGTCCCTCTACCGTGAGGGGAAAACAAATGAAGTAGACTTGACTTAGCGGTGGTGATTCGCGAGACGTGAAAGTTTGTTTCGACTGGAAAAAGGAAAACGGGGGGAAGGAAAATCGAGGAGCCACAAGGTGTACTTTTTACAGCAAGCGTATTCAGGAGAATACGGCAGACTAATCCGAGCTACAAGGCTGATCGAGACTCATTGCAGAGCCAAAGATCGGCCCAGGGCTTTAAGATGAGACGTGCTATCTGCGCATGGTGAACTGACTCGCTCTAGCTATGGCTGATTGAAGCTGTTTACTTCCAGGGAAAGCTCGTCTTGAACTTCGAAGGGTTGTAAGTTGTGTGGCAGGCAATAATGGTCTCAGGCCTCAGCTGGCACAATCTATTTGAGAGCCTAGATAATTCTCCAGACAAACGAAAACGTGAGTCAAGGGAACACGAGAGGAAGAGCACACGGAAAGGTGAGGGTATGCGAGCGGAGGGGACGGATGAGTTCATCTCGAGGAGAGAGAAGGGAGAGGAGAGGAGCGGTGGCGGATTGGCAGGGAAAAAGTTCACGGGTTTTTGAAATTGCTGGAAGGGATCGAGTCACGGTTTCGGGACAAGGGGAGATTCAGGTGTGATGGGAGGGATGTGTTGTGTGAGTGAAGGGGGTGTTCTTGTAGATTACAGGAGAAACTGTACGCGGCTCGCAGGTAGAACCCTATGGAGATGTCATGTAACACGCAATGAAATCCACACTCGATGCCTCCGTTCGGTGCCGTGCGGCTGGTGGGTGCGCGGAAGACATTGGGGTCGTTTCACACGCCTCCAGTTCGGTTTCAATTTGTCCATCCAGTTGAACCAATGTCAAGATGACACACATCCCAACCGTCAAATTGACACACATCCCAAGGTTGATCAGATCAAACAGCTTCTCTCTGAACTGAGGTCTCGAGGCCCAGAAACGCGTTGTGCAAATGGGCGCAGGTGTACAGAGCTGTGCTGTACTGTATTGTACTGTACGCAGACAGCTGACTTCCACCTCGCGCCGCCGCCAATCTCGTGGTTTCACTTTCCCGTGTGCGCTGGAACTGATGGCGTGTGATAAAGAGACATGTGGCACATGGACTCCACGCACAAGATTCCCTCAAGCGGGATATGCTGTGAAAGCATTTAGGTACGCGTACTCACCCTTCTTACCGCTGAATAAAAAACTCTGCCTCCTGAAAGATATCCCAGCGATACTCAACCTTTTGCAAATTATCAATGTTCTCCAGACCATGTCTCCAATTATCATGTCAGTAGGGTATTTCGAAATAGATAACAGAAAGTCGTGTTTCAGCGCAAACGTGTGGTTGTTAGAGCGTGTTACACCCAAGCAAAGATTGCTGCATTTTGAGGATCACGTAGGCGATCCTTACAGAACAGTGTCATACCTACCACTGTACAGTAATCACTGTGTCAGGTGATGTACCAACAGAGGAAGGATCGAAATCACGAGAGATCGTGATACCCGATCTTGGTGTTTTTTGGGAGATCGTGGTGACTGCCAATCTCTCGGTGATCCTTGCATCTTTGTACCAAAGACAAGGTGATCCTTGATGACGAAACTTTTGTTGTCGTGAACTGCTGTAACAAAATCGCGACTAATCAGAGCATTCTTTTGATGAAGTTCGAACCAATAAAGCGGTTGATTTCGGATCAGTAACGCAGTCAACGTGGTCAACAAAAATATCCGACGATCGCGACTGTCGCGTCGTTTCAGGCGACGTCGCCTGGTCGCAGAGGATCACCATTGCAAATTTGCAGATGGTACACCAACAAGGATTGTGATGTGCACCAAAAATTGTTGTTTTGCCACTCGTAATCCTAGGGTTGGGGTTATGGTGATCTTAGCTACGTGATCCTTGAGATTAGGGCAGGTGTAACACGCTCTTAGGAGGTTTGATCGTTCAAACGTAGTCGACGGCTTCATCCGCCGCAAACGTTCGACTTTCCTTTTGGCTCATCCGCCGCAATCTGCGCAATAACGTGGCACAGATGATCTCCAAAGGTGCTGGCGGGGTCCGTGGAATTATCGGGCGACACGTGTGCTCCAACCTGTCCGGAAAAGCCCGTCGGCGAAATCTCAACCTCCTGGCAAGTCTCTGCTGTTCGCTAGCACCTCCCGTCATTGGCCGGCTGTCATTCCTCTCGGTTCAAGCCGCGAAAAGCCAGTATGGGTCAACCAGTCTATTCTGTGGAACACACCTGACAGACACCACCGTTAGCCACGTCCACGCAAAACACGATGTGGTACACTGCTCCACAAATAGCGAGATAGATGTTACCAATAATAAATTATTAACCATCAGTTCACATTGCATACATTGGCCTCCCCACATTCCCTAACCCCCAATAAATCACCCTTTCTGAGCTACACAAATCGAAAATAAATCATATGCCAGAAGCACAAACAGATGCCACGGCCAAACAGTTACACATCCTTCACAGATGCGCGGAACGAGCGGCACGACTTCACAGCCTCATTCGCAGTGAGGAAGAGCCACTCCTCGCCAATAGTCTCGAGGACGCCCGAGACGGCCAGCTTGCGAAGAACCATCTTGGAGGGGTTGCTGATGCCGAGCTGGACGTTGTTCTTAGAGAGGATGGAGTGAAGCTCCTCCAGAGAAGTGGTGCCAGAAGAGTCAATGTCAGGCACTGGGGTGAAGTCCAGGATGAAATGCTGGTGGGGGAAAAAGAAGCATAACAAAAAGCTAGGTTAGAATCAACAGCACAAGCACAATCGTAAGGGGTCTCCCCCTGGGAACCAGTGCCTAAGGAGTGAATGTCTAGCACAGCATTAAAGCACTAGTGAATGACAGGAGAAAGCCATGGGGATGCAGTCCAAAAAACATCAGCAGCATATCAACTCACAGTGATCTTGACGTCATGGCTGAAGTCATGCTCCTCAATCAGACTCAGCAACTTCTCATTACAAGGAATCCTTGTGTCACTCAGTAATCCTTGCGAGCTCTCAAACCCTTCACTCAGTTTGACCCTGCAAATGTGAAAGGTCTGAAAGCTGGCAACTCACAGTGATCTTGACGTCATGGCTGAAGTCATGCTCCTCAATCAGACTCAGCGACTTCTCCCGGATGTAGTTTGCATTCGGGAAATACACCGGGCCGTCCACACGCAGCACGTACACTCCCTCCTCGACAATAGCACCATCGTACTGCTTAATGTTGCGGTACACTCCGGTACCCGGTACAAGGCCGAGAGTGGAGAGCGGTGGCCTGGTGACCTGAACGATGAGCTTCAGGGTTCCCGCAACGACACCGACCAGGAGACCGGTTTCCACCGAGTCGAAGAGAATGCCGAGGAAGGTTCCGAGAAGGATCAGGAAGTCAAGCTTGTCGGTCTTGAAAATCTTGATCGCGCCAGGAATGTCAATCTGTATAGAGAGGTGATGGAAACAAAGGGTAAGACAACAGAAGCCATGCCTGCTACAGAGAATAACAAGCTGTGACGCACTGCAGAGAGCAAACACGGGATAACTTCTATCAATGCTTACCAGCCCCAGCACAGCAACAATAATGATGGCTGAAAGGACAGCCTGCAACAATAAGCAAAGAAAGAACAAAAAAATAGCTGTGATGATTCAGCAAGGAGGTGATGACAATGGAAAACACAATCTTGGGAAGCTTTTTGAAAAGGGACGTGATCCAATCCAAATGACATGACGATGTTTGTCGGAAAGGAATGGTGGATCCGAGACAGCGCACTCACGCTGGGAAGGTACTGGAAAACGGGGGTGATCCAAAGGAGGGTGACGAGGACGACAAGGGACATGACGATGTTGGTGAGCATGGTGGAGCCACCGGCGTTGTAGTTGACAGCCGATCGCGAGAAGGAACCTAGAATGTCGGGAGAAAGGGTGTGGATAGGAGAGGAAGAAAGCAATGAGATGAACAACCCGCGGAAACGCTTGAGGGGAGCGGATGAATGCGAAAGCAACATGAAACGAAGTAACGAAAGAAAGCAAAGAAAAAGAAGTGATGCAAAGGTATTGAATGTACATATAAATTTATTAGTAACAACGGGACTGTACCAGTGGTGACATAGCTGGAGGAGAAGGAGCCAACAATGTTCATCGAGCCAAGGGCAATCATCTGATGTTACGAAACGCCATAACAAACACGGAAACACATGATTTTGCAAATTAGTCAAGAAATCATGATGTGGAAGACGGAAGCAATAGCTGGAAAACGGATGCCGATTAGACGAAAAGGTGTCATGATGCGGAAGACGGAACTAGTACCTTCACACCAAAGCCATACAAAAGTAAATTTCTCCTGCCTTTTTCCAAGGCAAAAATCAAAGATTGTGAAAGCTCTCTCTGCACAAGCGGGCGGCCAATCAACTCCATTTGACGCGCATATCATTACAACCCTAAACGGCGCCATACCTCCTTGTTGCCATCGACGTGGTATCCTTCCAGCGACGCGAAGGTACGCGCGATGGCAGACGCTTCCTGCAATGGCATGGCCGAAAGGATACACAGAACCCGAACGAAACGTATTGTTGAGCTGTTACGCATAGACCGAATTTCTCACGT